CGGGCTCGGTGCCGGGCCCTCAGCCGTAGTGGTACACGAAGTCGTAGCTGCTCGGCTCCTTGGGGATCGGCGGCGGCGCTTCGGGGATCTGGATGTTCTCCAAGTCCAGGAGCCTCAGCTTCATTTCCATGCTCAGCAGCGTGTCCAGGTCACTCTTGGTCAGCTCACTGGACATGTCCTTCCCCAAGAGAGCATTAAGCCCGTCAATCCAGATACAGTACTGTGAAAGAGAAGGGTAATTCGCGACTCCAGGCGTAAATGATACCTTATGTCGAATCTTTCCGTCCATGCAAAAATTAGAGAGCTTCAAGCCGGGAAACACTGAAGGGAGTTAATATGTAGGGGAAAAAAATCCCACCCCCAACCCTAAAACAGTGCTCACAGATATTTCCAGTGGAAGTTACAAGCCTAGAGGAAAGTGTGAGCCCATGCTTGTAGTAGAAGGACAAGAGCTTCTACCGTGGAATAACAAATGAAAAAAGTAAACCTATTCTAGGCATCATAGAAGGGATAAAAAGTAGCAGTCCAGACTACGGGAAATTAGTGTGGGATTTCTTTTTTTTTAAATGAAAAGGATAACTAAGGGGGAAAAAAAGATAGCCCATAATGAGCATCGCCAACATATTCTAGAAGTGAAACTGGTGAGAGACAGACTGCTCCAGTCTCTAATGAGAAACAACTGATCCTCCTTAATCTCTGAAGTTAATTGCTAAATATGCTACTGCTTAACCACTACATTTCTTACCTCATATTTATTAGGTGCAATGAAGTTCAAGGTCTCATCGGGATCATATAATATGGAGAAGGCCAATTCTAACACTTCCTAAATGGAAAAGAATCTTTCACTCACCAGCTGAGCAAAACATTACAGCACCTTCTGCTTGCCACCCCGAGAGAGTTGCCTTGCTGCAGCTCCTGATCATGCTTACGGCTCCTTGCAGTCACAAAGGAACACCAGTAAAGGGCCCAGACAGGAGATGGGGTTTGTACACAACACACCCTTCAGTGGGAGAGAGCACTCACTCCTGTTGCTCACTTTCACTCTTAAACACTACAGTATTAAATATTAATGACAGTGAAAAGGGAGCACTTGCCTTATTCTGTTTCAGTGCACTTTTCTCCTTCATGTGTGGACAATCCTTCCCTGTGACAATGGCTTTGATGTCTGCAACTGGAACTAACAGTGAAAAAGTAAAACTCCCAAACAAGCAATCCTAACCAGGAAAAGACAGAACTTTGTATTTGCAACTGAACAGTTTGCTTCTTTAGCTTGCTAGTTTTCCAAAACACGTTACCAGTAAGACATCCCTGCAGCTGGCTTTTAAAAAAGAACTATCAAGTAATTCCAAGATTTGAAGAATTTGAGCAAGGACCAAAAGTTGGTAACCCCTTAATCAGGGCTTCAGCCTTGGGTCTTTCATCTTTATCTTGGATTATATTCAGCCTCTAGAGCACAGAAGAGTGCACAGCCTGTAATCAGGACTTACTTTTTTCTTGTAAAGATTCAAAGGTCACTTCCCCCTGGGCATTATCTTCCAGATCTCCATAGTGTAGCACCTTGTGATTCAGAGCCAGGCGACAATACCAGAATCTTTCTGGAACACACACCAAGTAGAGTAAGCTGAGCAAGATCATTCACATAAGGTCTCACAGCCACTATGTTACAGCTTCTCCACCCAATCCATCTGCTCACTGAGTTCCTCAGCACAGCTTATTATTCACGAGGGGATGGCTGTACTCTTAGAAATGCACATCTGTGCCATCCCAAACTCCTGGCTGATAGGGACAGCCCAAGTAAACAGCTTTTCTTTCTGGAAACATGCCTGGTGACAGATTGATTTATTAGATCTTATTTGCT